TCTGTTCCAGGGATTGCGCCCTGATCCCCGCTAAATGAGGGCGGCGGCTGTGGCGGCTGTCCCGCACGGTTCGGAGGGGACGGAGCCGCGATATTACAGACAGCCGCTACCGCCGTGGAGGGCCGGCTGGACGGGATATGAAACGCTGCCAACCCTCATCCGTCATTGCCCCAGACTGATCATCTCTTGACCGTTACGCCCCATACCATCCGTCTCACGTAAGCCAATTTTCTATCGTCCGTTTCTCGACTGTTGAGTTCTCATCGGCCACGTCAAGATTGTTAACCCCTGGACTGTCAAGTGAAGCCCCCCACACCTTAGGCTGGCAAGTTGCACGGTAAGCGGTAGCGCACACACTGCACACTGCACACCTTGCAATCCAAGAGAAGAAGCGCCCTGGCATTGCTGGAACTTCTTACAGCGCGCTGACAGGACCGTCTACCACGCGACTCCACTCGGTAGTTTGATAAGTCTGTATGGCGCCGGGGGTTTTGTCGGGACTGAAGCGTGCCGCTTTTTGTCGTTTCCGCGGCCTGAGAGCAGCCAACTCGTCATTCACTCGAGCCACTGAGCTGAGGGGCGGAATCGGATTGAGACTGCTCTCAATCACCGGAACACCGACGCTGTCGATTGGCGGCGACAAAAACGACGCGGCTCCGTCGAAATCGATGGTGTGGAAAGCGCCCGTCTAATCAACCGGAACTGGAACCAGTTACGAGACTCCCAGCCGGCCCCAGCGACTCCAAGGCGGCGAGACGGCCATTGGCTTTTCCTTATAGGGCAAGGGATAGGGTGAATCAGCTGGTTCTGTGGCCGTGCCAGTTGCCACAGAACTTGACATCGGAGATACCGCACAACGCAGTCCGCCACCACTCACGGTAACCAGACACTTCGAAGTCATCCCAGGATGCCAAACACAATCTGCGTCATCTGCAGACATTCTAAGGTCGCCAAATCGCGCCACCATTTCTTTGTCAGGTGACCAGACGGGGCCTATAACTACTCCAAGACACCAGATACGATCCATCACTTGTTCAGGTCACCAGACATACTGTCAGGTCACCACAGGCTACCAGACGCAGTCTGTCGCCACCCCAGGTCATTGGCCGGCCGGGCCAGTCGCGCCGACAGTAGGTAGGTGTCTGCCGTCTGGTGAAAGCTCTCCTCCGTCTAGCCAGCTGTGTACCAGGGGCTCCAAACGGGCTCCGGCTAACTTGGGGGCATTTCTGATGTTCTGCGATAGTTTTGTGGTGCGACTAGTAAAGTTTGTAGGCATTTGAGAAAGCGGCTTTCAAACGGTAAATAGCTCTCTAGAGACAAGTGGGCCCCGAAGGAGATCTTAGATTTAATTGACAAACTGAGAGCCTTTCAACTTCCAGACGTCTGACTTCAGTTCGTACAGATGACGAAATGTTTCAAATTTCTTTATAGTAATTCGCTGTCGGCAAATGCTGACGAGGAACAAGAAGGTGTATATCATTGGCCTAACTACAACCTGACTCCACTCCCCGGGTGCTAGTCGATTCAGCTTTTCAGCCTCAGCCTTCAGGCGTGTGTAAGCTTCAGCTGATATCAACTCATGACAAATGGCAGACGTTCGGCCCGCCACAGCACGAGCCACACGGTAGGGTCTGACCACCTCTTGACCTCACAATACCGCGCTGGGATCGGGGCTAACCGCATGAGAGCACACTAGCTGCCGCCACTAGCGCGTCAGTCTCCACGCGTTTCAGTTTCGCCTCTCGTCTCTCCTCAAGTCAGTTTTAGCGCACGTCACTCTCTTCGCCTCCAGGCGACACGACCTCGCGCCCTCGGCCTCTCGGCAGCTCGGGGGCCTCCGAAGGAGCGCGGCGCCTCTCCTGACCTCGGCCGGGCCTCGCGCGTGACCTCGCAGCGGTTTACTCGCGCGGCGAGCACCGAGCCTGGCTCATGGCGGCGGCGGCGGCGGCGGCGGCGGCGCGCGGTTGCATGCCTGACCTCCATCGGCACAGTGCGACCGAGGACGGACGATCCGGGCTGGCGGCGAGCACCTCTAATCCCTGATTATAGCATACATGAGAGGGCTGCGGTCAGGTGTTTTTGGGCGGTCGACCGGCACGCTGTACTGCGGTGAAAGTTGGCCATTGCGGAGCGGCGCGGCGCGGCGCGGCGCGGCTGTGAGGCGGCAGCGGCAGCGCGGCGAGCCTGGCAGTGACTGCTTTTTAGCGCCCAGATACGTTGTCAGTTAACCGGGCCAACCCCCCATTGCAACGTCGCTGGCAACACTGAGCCGGGCCGACACGCAACGCTTTCTCCACACAATGCGCTGGCTTTTGTCCGACCTCTCTCGGTATACATATGTGTCGCCACATCAGGGTGGGGCAGCCGGGCCAAGCCTATACCTCGCCCTCCCGCCCCCAGCCCGGGAGTCCGCTATTGGTCATGACACCGTTCGTGAAAGGACTCGCCAACGAGACGTCGCTTCGGATCGGGGTGGCATGGATGCTCGGGAAGGAGTGGCTGCAAGGTTCTTATTTTGAGTTGAAAGAAAATGAATCTATCAATCCATGTAGACATGCTTCAATGTTCTCTCCTTTGGTAGCGCAATGATTGAATAAATTTTCCTAGCATTTCCTAGAAGCATAGGTAGTTGTTTTTTTTTTCTTTCGCAAAAAAGCGTATAGGTACTTGCAGACACGCTGGTTGAAAAGGATCTAATTCATTTGGTGCAGTGCAATGACAGTGCGCACCCGTCTGTTCTCACAAGCTTGCAGCACCTCCTGGCTGGCCTGACCCACCCTCACAGAACAACTGAACGTCCTTGAGGCGCCGTTGGGCGCATGGCACACATTGTTGGGGCCGGCATAATCTGATTTCCCGCCGCGCATTGTATGGACGGACCTGTCTCAGGCTGGTCGCCGGCGACTGAGTGAACTGGTGAGACTAGACTGAAGACTGGTGGTACGGATTAATGGTAAGGGGCTGATGACAAGTGGTTAGTTAGGGACTTATGGATGATGGCACGGGCTGGCGACTGACGGCACGAACTGGTCATGATAGTGTCATACTTATCGACATGATGTCACGCAGCCTACACCCGATCGGATACGTCACACAAGTCACACTGCAGCATCGATTCTCCCCCTAGTCATAATCCACTACCCCAGTTTTTCGCCTCGAGCCTGGAGCAAACAAACAACATCATTCCGGGCCTGATCTACATAGTTCAATCCCGTTTCAATCCAATCCTGCTCCACTTCCATCCGCTCGTAATTCCACCCTGAGTCCGCCTCATCCAATGCCTCAGCAGACCACCGTTCCTCGCCCAAATGTCGGCCATCTGTTTGTGTATCTCTCCTAAAGCGCCTCTCACGCCGCCTGGCAACACCATCTGACCGCATTGGGCAACACCTGGCAACCGGCAGGCGACGTGGGCAGCCGCCGAGTTGGTTTCGCAGCTCGTGTGTCGAGGCTTTAGCAGAGGTAGAGCCGTCTGTATCATCAAAGGTGGCGAGTGACTGACGGGCGGCGGTGACTGGGGCGAGTGCGACAGGGAAGTGGTGAGTGGTGCCACAGGCTCCTGCCCAGTGTGGTGTAAGGCGGCGAGTCTCGCTATATCGTACCGGCCACTCCATATGTATGGGCTGGAAAGTCTCACATTGGGAGAGGGCGAGCCACATTGAACAGTCGACTCGGGTCGACTAAATCTCCCACAGACCGCCGCAGGCACTGGGGTCAACGAAGTCGAGGCGAGGCGAGACGGGAGGAGACGACACGAGACGACGAGAGAGAGAGAGAGAGAGAGAGAGAGAGAGAGAGAGAGAGAGAGAGAGAGAGAGAGAGAGAGAGAGAGAAACTCATGAGAATGATTAGCTTACCTCGAGCCTGTGGGGTCAACATTGCGTCATCATTCCTAACAAGTACCTAACAGCTGATCATTATGCCTGGCCAGACTCTTCACATCACTGCGGATTTATACACACATCAATCGCTGTCCATGTTTTTATACAAGCCAAGCGAAAGCCGTCTTAATGGGTATCATTTAAGCTTCTTCAGTCGGTGAAAAATGAGACGGGTTCGGTGACTGCGTCAGATTTGCTGTGTTACACCACAGGGTGGTATGGATCCTGTGCTGGTGGTAGTTCTTTTAGTAGCGGTGATGCTACCTGAATAACCGTCATTAGCATAAGCGGCAGTGGTAACAGCAGGAGCTGTGCTGATACCACTGAGGTTACTGGAGAAGAACTGCTGACGATTGAGCGCAGAATCGTAGACAGACTGACATCAGTTGGCTGACTGTTGACTGATTGAGTGCAGCATAGTTGACAGACTGACGGCGGTAGACTAACTGCCAACTGTTGACTATCGAACGGACAACGTTCAAATGAAGCGCCAACGGTGTGCAGCGCGTGATTGGTGCGATGCAGCGATAACATGTTGATTATTGATAATTGATAAGGACAATTGATAGCGGGGTGAGGTGGACCGCCACGTGACAGCTCCAGGCAAGGACTAGCACGAATCAAGCATGGACGTACGCTTGCGCTGTTAGGTCGATGTCATGGCTTAAAAGCGAATCATTTATTTTAGGGAACAATTAATTTTTGGGAGGGTTTTAGCGTATGGGCTCTCGGTCATTCACGGGCAAGCATAATATTTTTACACATTTTGTTTACAGTTCCCGTAAATGTGAAACAAATCAGCGTTACCTTTGAAAATCTAAGAAGTATCATGTTTGAGACGCGCTTGCCAACACTGTTGCCCGTTGCTTGGTAAGAACAAGCTATGCCAAATCGCCAGGGACCAGAGGTATGCTGATTGTCCAATTACCGCCAATGACGGACCATTTCTGCAGTACGTTCTACTGCCGGCGGAAGATGCTAGCCTCTGCTCACTTCATGGTCAGCTGATTGATCATCATCTCTGCCCCCATCCCCAGCCTTTCCCCGCGGCTGCTTTCCGGCCATTGACGTGACGGCCTGTGACCCGTCATTCAAACTGTCACGGCCGACCGTACTCACCCGTCTGGGGCGGCTGGAATCGATGACCGGTCGGCAGGACCCGTGTCGGCAGAGAGACCGAGCCGGCCGACGGCAGTGGCTCCCTGGTGTCGTCCACGTGTCGAGAGAGGTCTTCGGTTCGGTACGGAGACGGCAAGAGACGAGGCGGAGACGGGAGACGCTCCTCCGGCTGTGTGCACGACACCGGGCACTCACGGGGCACCGGCAGACACTCTGACGCTGTGTCACTAACACACTGACACGGCTTGACACGCTGTTTCACTACCACGGGGCTCGACTGGCGCACGGCCCGTATCACTGGCACTCACAGCAGGGACTGGTGGCTGGAGAGCCACTCGCTGCCTGCTGACAGCTGCACACACACGGCCCCTCTGGGACACACAGACACACCAACACACCTGGGACCGACACCAGCGATTCTCCCACCGGGCCGGTCGGAATCCTTCGCCTCTTGAGAGCGATCACCGCCGTGTCGCTATAAATCGGCCGCGATCACACCGCTATTGTTGGAGCCGCCACCGGTCGGAATGGGCCCGGCACGGGATCCCAGAAGCAGCGGCCCTCCACAGGGGACGGGCGACACCGTATCCTCAGACGACAGCCACACAGAGCGGAACGTGACAGCGACCTCCCGGCGCGGCCGCCCGCGCGCGACTGAGCTGCAGCCGCCCCGCCACCGCCGCCGCCGCGGCCGTCCGGCAGCGCGCCGCCCGGGCGCCTGCCGCCCGCCACCACCGACCGCTAACCGCGCAGCAAAGCCGTCGCCCCACCGTCACCCGTTTCCACAACTCTGCAGTCCAGTCAAGTGTCCTGACAAGTCCACACCTCCCCGCACCCCTCTGCATGGACTCGCCAACAGATCCTGCCCTTTCCCCTCCCCCTCCAGCTATGAGCTTTGTGAAGTTAGGAGTCCCCCGATCGACCCGTGTCGTGCCGCGGTCCGGTCCGCGGCCGGCGGCGGCCGGCTCTCCTCCGATTGCATGAGTGGTCGGCGTTCTATCGCGGCCGCCGGTCTTGATTACACGGCCGCCGGTCCTGATTTATGGACCGCCTATTCAGCGCGGCCCAGAAGGCCAGCCAGCACCGGCGGCCGCGAGCGCCCGGCGGCCGGCGCCGGGTCCGGTCCGGTGCTGGGTGACGGCGCGGCGGCCGGCCGGGCAGGTGGCGGCCCTCCCTGCCAGGGTGCGTCCCTCCCTCCGCCATTTTCCTAATGAGACGGGAGCCGGCGGCGGGCCGCGGCTCAGGGGAGGGAGGGGCCGTCGATTCCCGGTCGATACAGTAATATAATGAGCAGGACAGTAAACGGATTACAGAGTTCCTCTTCGGAGCTTAATCGCATCCTGGAAACAGCCCATGAATATCGCATTAGGTCCGGGTTTCACTCTATCCCCACGCGACAGCCGGCAGGTGAATTCATTCGATGGACGCTTGGGTGAGGAATGGTGTCAAATGAATCCTTTGAAGCGAGCCCCGCATAGCGACCCAATTTGAAACGCTTAGCTTAGGCCACGAGAGTTTGACCCGTCTGTTTTACTCAAAGCCAGTATGAATAGTCCGAGTTTGAACCCCGCGTTGAATAAGGTCGCTGCCGTTTATTGGACATTGGAGTGGAGCTGCTGCCTGCTGCAACTTGTTGCACTTTTGACCTTTGAGCATGCCTGCTGAAGAACATTATTGTGTCGCAACTATAAAATCCAGAAGTTCCGCGAATCTTGTAACGATTAGCCACGAATCGTGACGACCAAATTTCCTGTCGGTAGTTGAGCGAAATGTGACGGTCCTTTTGTAACGGATTTGGGTGCAGACGGAGGAACAATAGCACTGCAAGGACGGCATGACGATGCAATTCCACAAGGCGAGCAATCTAATGGAATATACGTGGCCAATGGCCATTGGCATTTGAAATCACATTCCCCCTTTACACCTTGAAGGCATATACGCTATCCGTCCACCAAAAAAGGTGATGCACTGCTTAGTGGTTAGCAAGGAGCACGGAGGTACGGTACGATCGCAATTCTTTACTTAAGTAATTTAGCACTGCATTGGACTTGGTGTTGTCAATGTATTCTTCCTTATATGCATTGCGATCAATCTCGACATGCATGATGCATTATCAAACAAATGAACACATGGCTCAGGAATCTGGCATTCCGAAATGACGCTATCAGTCTATGGAAGTCTCGGAACACTCAGGATGTGTTGTTTCTCAGGATGTCAGTGATTATGTTGATGATACCATTCTTTGCTATGTCCTGTGTCGGTTTGGAAAGGAGGGAAGTTTCTGGGATGTCCCTGTGGAGTTCCTGCAGTCCTGTGGCGTATTTCCCCTCATCTTCCACCCAACACAGAGGCCAGAGCAGCCACAGTGAATGACACCACTGTCTATATATCTGCTCTGCGGTGTGTGGAACGAATGTCTCCGATCCATCAGTGACAGGTCTCGGACCGAATCGGCCACACCATCCCGCCTCTCACTGAACTCTAACACAACTCTCACCACTCTCTATACCCACACCCCCACTCCCACCCCCACACGGCACACGTCTCGCGCAAGATGAACGACCATCCGCTAATGGTCTAGTGGAGGTGTGACCACTAACGTCCCAGCCGGCGCGGCGCCGCGGCGGCCCCTGACCCGGCGCCCCATTAACCGGTGGGCCGACGGGCGTCGCGACGGTGACACGATGGCATGGCTCTGCACGCAATCCCGACATCAGCGTTTGCAGCAGGTCGCCGTCGACAGCCGGTGTGACAGTTGGTATAGGGTAGTGGCATAATGGACAGTTGGACTGTCATAATAAATGATGTCATGATGGATGACCCATGCAGGTGTGGAAGTGCGCGGTACTCATGCGATAGCGCCGGTGGACGCTCGTCTATGAAGCTATGAAAACCAAGAAACAATACCTAGCATTTTTCGTTGATTAGTATGATGAATAATGCTCGCTCATGGAATTCGCACTCTTCATTCGCCACCACAAATTCATTCATTTGGGCACGCCACTGAGTTTTTGCATAATGCATTAACTGTTTTCGTTTTTCCTTTTGATTCATAATTATCATCGCTTAATTCGCTAAATGCCTCACATGTTCTGGAGCCTCTACACACTTTTCCCAGAACCATGTAATCATCAATGCAGCACCAGCATGGCTGAAATCATTACCACCAGTACCAAAATCACTAGCATCACCATTGGCCTCACCTCGACATGTCTGCGATACGGAAACTCCGCGATTCAGACCCTCCCCAATCACCGCCACCTTTACTGCCCCGCAGAACACCCACAGTAAATCAACACCACTGTCGGGTGTTATTTATTTACAGATTTCGACCTATGTGTTAACAACGGTGTCGGCAGTGTCACACGGAGCCTACAAAAGCGTCTGAAATGACCTCGTCAAGACAACATCAATTTACGTTCCTTCCCGTGATTAATTAGTTAGCGACTGTAATTTTGTTGTCTCATTCGCAGGGTTTGCAACTGAAAACATGTCATGCAATTCCATTGCAATTTTGTTGGAAACACGACTGCCGCCTTATCGCTCACCATCGCCACTAATAGCGAAAGGAAACACGCCGCTTTTAGGCATTATTAACCAGCGCCGCTGAAGTCTGAAGTCTTTTCACAAATGAGGTTGTGAAATGAACTCATGAAACGCTGTATTTCGCATCTTATAGTATAGAGTATTTCTCAGATTTTAACCCGCGCCCCGCTGGGGGGGGGGGGCAGAATCTGCCCCCTCACGTTTTCGCCAATAACTTCTAAACGCTTGAAGCCAGTGACGTCAAATTTTCAGTACCTTATCATACATCGATTTAGCACGTTTCTTGAACATTTGAGCGAAATCCATCGATTTTTTAGATGACGTTTAAGTGACGTCATATCCGCCATTTTCGCCTCAAAAACGGCAAAATTTCAAAACGCCGCAAAATTTAAAAATCCTCATTTTTAAAGGAAACAAGACATAACAAAAAACGTTATACGTGATTCTACTTTGTCTATCAAATGGCTATCTCGGTTTGTGAGAATTTTGGATTTTGGACCAAATATTCTTATAAAAAACTGACATTTTTGGGAAAATAACTATAACTCCAAAATTTTGAGTGTATCGTAAAAACCGGAATATATGTCAGAGAAGTGGTCTATGTGCACCTACATACCAATTTTTAAAAGACTAAGTGTGGGAGTTATTCAAAATTTTACGACGTCACGACACACAAGTTTTTTTTTTGAAAAAATGACTTTTTTTTGGAAGTTCTAGAACTCGTATGGGAACAAAAATAGCACCATTTGATTTGCAGTGAAAAGCTGCATCAGATTGACACTTTTTAGGTCTTAACAACCAACTTCAAAATTTGACCTCACTTGACCTGTTTTTGACCTGACCTCGACCTAAAGTTCATCCAGATGTGCTCCATATCACCTATTGAGTGTGCCTATTGCATTCTATGAATAAAATGACTCATAAAACATGTGTTGCACATGCCCTTTTCTATATTTCGTTTTTGGTGACCTGACCTTGACCTTGACCTTTGCATGATATTGTATGCAGCGAATATTGTCTTGGTAGCCTAAGAACACGTTTTGGGCAATCAGTCTCAGTCCATTCTTCGGCAACTACGGTGCAAGGCCGATACTGTAGAAACTTGCATTTTGTACCCTTGACCTGACCTTGACCTGACTTCTGACCTACTTTAGCAAAAAAAAATGGCTTTTAAGATACGCCTTGTTGAGAGCTTTCGATTGCCGTTTTCTTCGTCTTTCTACGACCATCGGTTCGGAAGTTATACAGGGGGGGGGGCAGAATCTGCCCCCCCCCCCCAGCAGGGCGCGTATGACTGAATAGCCCAGCGGGGGGCGGGTTAAGAAAAGTACATGGTTCTGGCTCATATTCATGGTTGAGTTCAATGGATTGGCAATATACGTGTAGTTTCCCCTTCATTTGGCTGTCGTTTCCATATTTGTCTTACTGAAATCTTAAAAAAACTCCCTCAGAATAAAGGTAGAATGATGTTCGCAGCCGCCCCCCCCCCCCCCCTCCCACGCCGATTTGCTTCCGTTCATTGAAAGGATGACCTCTGAGTAACTTAGAAGCACCGAGAGTCACCGAGGGGTCCTGTCGGTGACCTCATATTCTACCAAGGGTCACCACGGCCACGGGGCAGACATAAGCTACCGTGGAGCTTTTGAGCGGGTGACGGGTCCCCCTAGTCTGCTAGAGTGTTTCCTGAACCCTTGAGTTATCGAGGGGCCCCATAACCTACCGAGGACCACTAAGCTACCGAGGGACCATCTGCACTCTCGAGGTGCCTTTGAGCATTGACATGTAACAGATCTCCATGAGCTGAAGAGGCTTCTAAGCTACCAGGGACCACAAAGCTGTCGAAGAACCTTTGAGTGTGTGGCAGAGACCCTGAGCTACCACGGGATCTCTTGATTATTTCAAGGAGGGACTCAAATGCGTGCTCAATATCATATTACTCCAATGCAGGCTCAGGGACCAGACGGAAACATCGTAGAATTGACTTTCGTTTGGTGCCACGCGGGCCATCGTTGATTTTTGAATGACTGGCGCGTTTGATTCAGTGAGCCGTGTGACCCATCGTGACCCGACTGTTACCCAGGCCGGTCCCAGGACTATGACCCAG